GCTGCGGAGCTATCTTGGCTTGCTGATCATCCGGGACAAAGCACGTCGCACCATCACCCTGACTCAGTCACACATGGTGCACCAGGTCCTTCAGCACTTTGGCTTCCAGTACTCCTCGACACAGCCCACTCCTCTGCCTACAGGCCACTTGCTCTCAGCTCCACCTTCGGACGAGTCCGTAGAGCCGAGTGGTCTGTATCCAGAGCTTGTGGGTTGCCTTATGTACCTGATGACGTGCACACGACCTGACCTCGCGTACCCTCTCAGCCTCCTGGCTCGCTACGTGGCTCCCGGTAGACACCAAAGGTGCACTGGGATGCTGCTAAGAGGGTACTGCGTTACTTGAGCAGTACATCGGGCATGGGGCTCGTCCTTGGAGGACGGGGTTCAGTCGTCCTCACAAGACACTCCAATGCTTCTTGGGCCGACGACCAGGCGACTCAGCGTTCGTCACAGGGTTACACCTGCAGTCTTGGCTCTGGTTCTGTCTCGTGGAGGTCCACTCGTTCGACTTCTGTGCTTGGTTCCAGCTGTGAGGCCGAGATCTACGCTGGGGCTATGGCTGCACAGGAGCTACGCTGGCTGACCTACCTGCTGACCGACTTGGGGGAGCGGCCTCGTTCTCCTCCAGTTCTGTACGTCGACAACAAGGCCATGATTGCCTTGTGTCACGAGCAGAGACTGGAGCACAGAATGAAGCACATTGCTCTTCGCTACTTTCTTGCTCGAGAGCTGCAACAGCGTGGTCAGCTTCGCCTTTTCTACATGGCCTCTCGAGCCAACACTGCTGATGTCTTCACCAAGGCCCTCGGGTCTGGTGATCATCACCGGTTTTGCACTACTCTTGGGCTTCTGCCCACTCTGCCTCATCTGCTTGTCTCTTGATCTTGCACTTGTTGTACACTGATATCTATATTTATACCTGCATGTTTCCTCTTGCTAGGTTGTGATTAGTGTAGTGCCTTGCTATTATAACTCTGCATGTGAACTGGCCTTGTGGCCGCTTGCTTGTGCTCAGAATGAGTGGTGATCTTGAGATCCACCCTGGGCTTTGCATTGCTTTGTTCTCTTGCCTGACTGGTCTTGTGACCGTTTGTTGTGTTGGCTATCCCTTACTTTGCCTAAGGGGGTGTGTCAAAACATACATTTATATGTTGTTAGTTATGCTAGGCTACAGTGAGGTGCTCAGTATAGAGTACAACCCCGGTTAGGGTTTACTACTTGTATCTCACTCTTGCATAGTTCATTCATTCCTGCACAGTTCTCTCGACACCTTCGCCCTCCGTTTTAGCTCTCCTGCTCCTTCTTCGTTCTGGCGTTTACGGGTGCTGCCGGTCAGTCACTGCTGTTTCTGTGCATATCCCCGCTACAAGCAACCGCTCTCCAGGCGACCTTGCTGTCAGACACCACTAGCTATAGCCGTAGGCAGTTACGGTGGTGTGTTGTATTTTTATATCTTATAACTGCCTACAACTAGCTAGTGTATTAGTTTGTTATTAGAATCAACCGTTGGTGGTGTACCCTATTCCCTTGCTCTTGCCTATTTGTACCTTAGCCTCTATACTGAAACCCTCTTTGGCCAAACCTCTCTCGATATCCATCTCCTCAATCTCCTTCCTCCTAAGCTCCAACTCCTAGCTCCTAACTAAGCTCCGGATTCTAACAGCGACTTAGGGTACATTCTCATATCGACATTTGTGTCTCAATCACTTTGGGACGCGTAAAAACAGCATAAACTGTATTGTGTCACAAACTCGCGTCGCCCTAATGCGACTTTCAGTGTATTTTTCATTGGTTAGCGTGAAACGCGCTAAAGTCGCGGACGAGTTGCACGATGCCCCGTAATTTTCAAAATTTCATACTCGGTTCGAAATGTCAATGCACCTGGACACCCCACAGTGCCAATTTAGTGCGGGAAAAAATCCCGTGCGTCGAAACCACACCCCTGCCAGGCGGGTGAAGAAACGGGTGTACAGTCGTTTTCTAAACCCAATCGAATTCGCACAACTGTACATTTCGCCTGGTCGCCTAGTGTTGCGATACATCCAATTTTGAGACGCGAGGTTGACAAAATGTGTAGATGCGACTCGGGAAATCAGGCATTGAGACATTTGTGACGAAATGAGAATGTACCCTTACAATTCAAATTACTACCCACACCTCGCATTTATTATGCAAGATGGCTCAAGTCAAATAGAATGTGCTATTAAATCACATACATGAAAAAGAGTGAACCCACCAACACGATCTCAACAATCGCGTCATTCCAACCCAGGCCTATTCAGCACACTCGGCGGCTCTGATACCACATGCTCCATCCTCCTTCCCGAAACCAGAGAAGCCCTTCGACTGAACTGGTCCCCTCTCTCAATGGCACTGCCAATCCGCCCAGATACCCCACTCACCCCCCCATAAGGCATCTGTTGCCCCAACTCCCTCAACCTCTCCAATGATAATGAGCTTCTATCCGCCGTTTGCTGCAGCAAATCCCGATGGAATGTCCCCATTGCAGCCACCCTCTCCCTCTGCTCCCGAAGATTCTTCTGCCACCGCTTCCCCGGACCCACAGGATTCGAGATCTTCCCCGCCATAGCTGTGGTTCGGACCAAGGTTCGGGACCCAACTTGGGGCAGAGGGGTCGACGTGCCAGGTGTCGCTTCTGGATTGGCTGACAACCGGGCGGCTCCCAAACCAGCAGCGTTAGGTGTCAGCGGCCCGTCATATCCCTCCACTCGCTCCCTCCCTGTCTCATCCCCATCATCATCATCGTCCTCCAAAGCTCGGGTCAACGAGGACCGTCCGATCGTGCCCTTCTTGGGATCATCACTGCCGTCCGATGAGCTTTTATGCATTTCATTGTGAGAGCCGTTGAGACTGTTCTGATAGGTCAGGACAGTGCTAGTCGGAGTAGCAAGCTGGGAGAACTGGCCTCCGTGGCTCGGACTCAGGCCCGGGCTCAGGCCACGAGCCGCTGGTGGGAGTCCGGCCCTGCCGTTGTTCGACCCGAGCCTGGCTAGGTCAGGGAGGCTTGCAGAGCTTTGCATGGCCCGGCGCACTGGCATGGTAACAGAGCCCCTGCCAAGGCTGTTGTTACCGGGAAGATGTGGTAACACAACGCGGTTACCGCTGGCGTCAAGCACGACGTGGGCGTTGCTGCTGCTGCTGGAAGCTCGCTGCATCATTACAACATCTACAGAACCACTGATACTTCCAAGGCGACCGCTCCCAAGGGAACTCCCAACACTGCGGTGTGAAGCGAAAGAGTAACCAGCCGCAGTAATCACGTGGGTAGTACTGCCAGTTGATGCTGACCGGTTCGAAAGAGGGCTGCTGCCTGTGGTGGTAGTGAGCTGGCGGGTTAGAGGGCTGGCACCGGGAGCAGCAGCAGCAGAAGCAGAGTGGAGGGAAACGGCGGTCGAGCCGTCGTTATAAATCGAGACGAGTTCAGCCCAAGACTGGTGCAGATTGGTCTTGACTCGGGTAAGATTGGACCACGATCGGCTGTTGCTTCTGCTGGTGCTGCGATTGGCGCTGCTGCCAAAGTGTACTGTATTGCTGAACGAGACCGTGAGCTGTTGCTTCCTCTTCTGCTGCCCCTGCTGCTGCCCCCCTCCTGCTGCTGCTTCTTCTTCTGGCACCTCATCATCATCCTCTAGGCTCCGTTGCTGCCTCTGCCGCCACGGCCGCTGCTTCACATCCTCTCTCTTGATTGGCTGGACAGGATACTTCTGCTGCTGCTGCTGCTGCGACTCACTCACTCTCCCAACCCCACCTCCAATCCCACCCTTTTCCTCCTCATCCTCCTCTATCTCCCCGTCCCGACCCTTCCCAATCTCTCCCCCCTCCTCATCTTGCAATCCATCAAACACAAAGCTTTTCGGCAGGGCTTGGCTCGCTCGAAGACCCGTCTTCTTAGGGCTAGAAGCACCATCGGGAACACCTGATTTTCCGGTATAGTCACCTCCCTGTAAAGGCTCCGTCTCTCCAGTGTTTGTTCCGTGAGGGTTGCATGGGTTACCGTCGCCGTCGATGAAATCGCTGTTGAAAGGGTCGCTTGTTTCAGCGTTTGCTTGGGCTTTCCTCCTGGGAGAAGTTTGTGCAGGCAGTAAAAACGGGCAGAAAACACCGGGAAAAAAAATTGGACAAAAAGGAAGGGCAGCAGGAAGTATTTTGGGGCAAGCCCCCCCCAGTGACAGGCCCAGGTACGCTCATGAAAACACGTGCATGGTTACTTACACCAACATGCACCCACATGAACCCATATGAACCACACTCAGACACACCCACTCACATGTTGACATGCACGCGCACTCCTTGAACCATGATAATGATTCCAAACAGCAAGCACGCCCCCAGCGACAGGCCCAGGTACACAAGCATGAAAACACATGCATGGTTACTTGCACCCACATGCACCCACTTGAACCGCACTGCGCACACACTTACAGATTCACATGCACGCGCACGCCTTGAACCATGATGATGATTCCAAACAGCAGGCACGCTCCCAGTGACAGACAGGCCCAGTTGCACCCACATGCACCCACATAAACCACATGCACGCACACACTTACATGTTTACTCTCAGTCGCACGCCTTGAACCATGATGATGATTGCAAACAGCAGGCACGCCCCGAGCGACAGCCCTAGGTACACAAGCAGAATGCCGCTGAAACTGCGGAAGCCGAGTTGAAGGGTGGAGGAGGAGGCATCATCGCACGATCCGGTTGTCTGTTTGGGCGAGAGCGGGGGGGGGTTTGGGAAGAGACGAGAGGGAGGAAAGACTGTCGAGGCCCCTCTCGAAGCACGCTCCTAGAGACAACCCCAGGTACACAAGCAGAATGCTGCTGAAACTGCGGAAGTCTAGTTGAAGGGTGGAGGAGGAGGCATCATCACACGTTCCCATCGTCTGCTTGGGTGAGAGGGGTTTGGGAGCAGAAGAGGGGTTTGGGAACAGAAGAGGGGTTTGGGAGCAGAAGGGAGGGAGGAAAGACTGTTG